CTCCCCAACCTGGGAGTGAGTAAGATATGAACACAAATCGTTATGATTTTCCGGATTATAATTAAGTGGTAAAATATATGATGAATAAAAGTTGAAAAGTTGTGCAACAAGCAAATATTGCTTTGAATATGCTACAGTTGCGAACGACACAAGGATAATTCTTCTACATTTTGCACTGCGCCGTGCAGCATAGTCTACACTGCAGAAATCATCATCAGCATCATCTCGGGGAATTTTTATCATTTATCACTGACTTTATTAAATCGAGGAATCAATTTTGATGAACAAATGTACTTGAATTTCTATTTCTTTACTTTTTTATTTCTTAATTTTTATTTATTTAGTTTTTGCGTTGAAGACAGTCTGAAAATAAAAAAAAAACGATCCCGCTTTCAGCTTCAAATATCTTGTGCTTTCCTTGGATGCTTAACCGGGAAAGTACTTTTTGAAAATGCTAAATTTTGTGTGCGGCCGATTTGATGCTTTGCATCAATTTTACTTGTTAATTTTTTGTGATCGGTTCGCTGGCGACTACATTACTCTTTTCTGGAATACGCATTCTCGACCTCATGGTAGGACATTCTGGGAATACAACTGTAGATAAATTGTACCATGACAATTTCGTTTCATTATCTGTAAAAGATTCGTGCTTTGTTGTTTAACCTGTACATAAATGTACGAAAAGTAACAGTTACTTAGGTCTAATAATGCAAAGACTGAAGATATCAGTTAATTCTAAAATTATGATAAATATCTAGCTTTTCTTAACTACTTTCCGACACGCTCAGATAACAACCTTGGATATGCTTGCCGAGCTTGCCGGAAAGACCCGAGAAGATGCGATTGCTACAAAACAATACCACACTGAAATATTTTAAACTAAGTGCTCATTGGTTCTACTGATCTCTTACTTTTCACCTCGAGCTCAAAATTTAAATTACAGTAAACTACAGAATGCTTATAACATGACTAACAAGAAAACATTGATGTAACCATCAATTGTCGCCCGGGAAATAAATAAAGTAAACAATGGAAATGAGTCTTTATCATCAAACCGCTTCGATATGTGTGAAAAAGGCATGCGTCTAAATGATGGAGACGATAGTCAAGAATATTTTGAAAACTTATAGTCGGATGAAAATCGAACAAAAACGATACCCTTTTAAACTTCATCAATTCCTCAAGTAAATGTTGGCTGCATAAAATATAATTTGAAACCAGACACATGCATCACCTATTTTCAAAAATATCTTTCACTTTAAGAATATAAAACACGAACTGTGTAAAGTACATTTTTACGTTTTTATGCGATAAGTAAAATTCGATGTTCTAAAAAAAGGGACCTGTCGTTTTTTCGATAGTAAATGATAAGCAACTTTATATATTAAATATGAAAAACATATATATTTTTACAGATTCACTTTATGGAAGTAAATATATTGTGTATCTCGTAATTTATAAAGGGAAAGAACATTCTGATTAACAATCTTTTTAATGTTTAGAAAACCTTTAATTCTGAATAACTTCTCCCACCTCAATCCCCATATACCAACACTTAAACTTGTATGTATAGAGCAGCCCGGTCCTCCGGGCTGCAATGAGTAATGCCATGGCCGATGTGAAGCCCACTCTGGATTCACCTTTCTGAACTGACCCCCCCCCCCCCAAGTTCACCATGCCTTTTTATTTATAATCATTCGATTCAGCAACTTAAACCAATGGTTCAGATATCTACTTCTGTGTTTTATGATGGCCCCAGCGCTAGGTCAGCTTTCTTTTTAAAGGATAAGCTTGTACATGTAGCTGATTCCATGTCACGGCAAATATAAACAATAACGCTTACATTATACGACGAACTACTTTATTTGATATTATGCACTGACAGCTTAATTATAAATCTATCATTAGCATTTACTGAGATTTTTTTGGGGTAATTACTATGAGATGCAATATCTATCATGTTTATGCAGTAAAAAAAAAAATGCTTGTCTCCAAATTCAAAACACCTATTTCGAAAGGGGGGGGGGGGGACGTTAGTACATTTCTTTTTCAACTGCAGGAATTTGCGAGTGCTCGATCTTAATGCTGCAACAAAACGGGGAGACTGCAGGAAGCATTTAAATAAAGATTTACTACAGTGAAAAACTATACTTAGAAACAACCCCCCCCCCCCCCCCCCGGCATTTTACTGGTTTGCTTGTCAATAAAAAGAAATCTCTCTTTTCATGCATCAGCCGAAACGAGATATTTAAAAATAGCATATAAAAACAAAAGGTTTACATTATTGATAATATTTATTCTACATTGGTATCAACAAAATTAAGGAATTGTAAACCTCCATGTAAAGTGTTAAATGTTGTTCGAAGAAGAAATAATACTGTGCATATAATAAAAGCATTACTCCAGTCTAACAATTTTCCCAGCAAGGAAAGAACAATTATATGATTTTGCTTACATTATGTTACCTTCACTATCATAATTTATTTTTTTCCCCCAATTTTATCAAAATGTGACATGATCTGTTTCCTATACAATATTGCCACGCGATTGCGAGTTTGAAATCCAGCACTGCATTACTAGTACTACAAGCCGAGCCTGTGAACATCGACCAGGAAAACCACCATCAATGCAGGAACGCTATATGGAGAGACAGAATTTACAGCCCCTTCCCATTCCCTTGTTGTTGAAATATGATGTATAAAATATGTATGTTTATTCACCAATGAAGGGTCCTCAGAGGATGAATACAATTATTACAGTAAGATCATATTTAAATATTTACATTTGCTGTGTTTTTCTACCTAGTCAACTGTGCAATTGATTTGAAAGTCATTTTTGTGTATACTCACGCGTAGAAATATACACGGTGAAACTCGCGCGCTTCATGAAATATGCCTACGTGACAAGTCTGTGTGATTCACACACCAATAACTCACACAAAACTTAAAAACATTCCTTAATTAAATAATATTGAAATATCGTAATATGGTAGAATATTAACCATGTTATATTTAACATGTAGGTATAAATGGAAGATCACAATACCACAAATAAGATCTGAAACTGAGACAAAAATATTGAGAGGGTAGAAAACCACATGAAGCTAAAGAAAATGATAACAATAATAGATTAGCAGCATACTATAATATAATATTTACATTTGTTGTGTTTTTCTACAAAGCCAACTGTGAAATTGATTTGAAAGTCATTTTTGTGTATACTCACGCGTAGAAATATACACGGTGAAACTCTCGCTAAAGTGACGTCACAATGAGGCTACAGAGACATTAATAAAAATGTAACGATATAGGGCAGTAAGAAATTTAGATATTGAGTATATCAGTGGTTCTTTTAAACTTGTAAAATGTAAATATAAGGAATGTTTTTAAGTTTTGTGTGATTTATTGGTGTGTAAATCACACAGACTTCCACGTAGGCATATTTTTCATGAAGCGCTAGTGATCGAGCTGCGCAGTTTATTATCCATAAGCTAAGGCAGCATCCGACATCGATCCCAATGCAAATTACGTCACTTCCGTTTCGCACAGAACTATCTCACTCACCCACAAACAAACACGCAACTCCATTGCGAGGGGATAAAAAAAATACACAGAAAATTCGAACAAGTGTAAAAATCTATCACAAAGATGTACTTTTCTACATGGGAAGAAATTCTGTGGATTTTCTCTGGTGTAGCTGTATGTAGACTGAATTCAATCAAAGCGCAATTAACGCTGGCTTACACTTATCTTTACATTATCCGAGACAATGATGTCAGCAGTGTTGAGGTAAGGATCCAAAACTTTTACAGATTTAAGATTAAAGCTTTAAATTTTATTTTTAGAGAACAACCTGACGCCTTTAATTTTTTTTCGGGGGTGGGGGTGGGGGGGGCATAATTTCAATATTTTGTGTGCTCAATAATAATTATAATAATACATTTAAAATGAAACATATAATTATAGAAAATAAACGAGTAATCAATAAACAAAGTTAAATAAAAAGGAAATTAAAATAAATGTTGGAATTTGTATGTAACCCTTAATTTGATTTTAGAAAGTATAAGTATGCCACAGGTTACTAATTTTACTCCATTTCATTGACCACGCAAAACGCAGCCCCCCCCCCCCAAATATGTCTTAGGATGAGAACGGGGTGGAATGGACTAATTTTAGGGCATAGATAGGAAGGAGAGTATCTGGGGAAAAGAATTAAAATTTAGAATATTGAGAATGTTGCCTTTGAACGTAAGAAGGGTGTAAATAGGCCATGTTTACCTTCTCCTCAATGGGTACTAGGTGAAATATGCAGGGTATGGGGTAACTCGCAGTGTCTTAGAAAGACTTGCACACTGTGGATTCTCCCTAGATTCAGAAATATTTTAAGGCTATAATAAAAAAAAACCCACTTAATTCCAAGGTGCATCAGACATGCGACTGAAGAAAATATTAAAGTTTTTTTTAGACCCAACTCTCCAAGATTCTGCCATAAATGCATTTTTTCTTGGACTCTTTCTTTTGGAAATACTTCAGAATGCTTTATATACTTTTGCTTTATAGTTTTGAAGTCGATTTGATGCTTTGCATCAATTCAACTTGTTCAATATTTTTTTTTTGAGCCAGTACAAATATATATTGATGATGAAAATTTAAAAAAAAAAAAAGAAAAAAATATTTTAACCGAGTACTCGATCCGTTTTTCGCCAAGGGGGGGGGGGGGCATTCTGTCTAAAAAAAAAACACGTTTGTAAAGTACAAGAAAAGAGGACATCGGGTGGATTAATCTGACTGGTGTATTTAAATACTATTATTATTATATTCATGACGCAGTATTTTTGTCTGTTCCCCGTCATTGCAAGTTTAAGAGTAATGTCACAAACTAAGGCTTGGGAATTTGTTTATAGTACACAAGACTTCAAACTAATGTTTTCCACAGTTTAACTCTTTATTATTATTTTTTTTTATTGATTCATGTGTGAGATTTCACTCAGCCCTAATGTAGATTTTCCAAAGGGTTTGGAAAAGTTTTGGAATTCCATGGAATTCCAAACATTTCCATACAAGAGTCTAAAAGTGTTTTTGGAAGTTTTTGGAATCTTTTGGAATTTGAATAACAAATTTGGACTTAGACATTTTGAGGTTTGGAAAGTTGTGGAATTCTATGGAAAAGCTGATAAAATGAGAAACTTAGACATTTTCTGCTCTGGAAAGCTGTGGAAAATAACTTAGAATTTTTTCTTAAACTGTCGGCTCATAGTACAATTACGTCGGGATCGATGTCGGGCTCGATGAACAATTAATTTAAACTACAGCCCGCCAAAATTCAACAATTCGGCTGCCATGTTGTATTGTTGGACAGAAGGAAAGAGAGTGTCACGAAGAAGGGAACTGCTGTCATTATTAGCTTGGAATGGAATTTGTATTTTGACAAAAGATGCAGACATTTTAAGACCCGGTAGGTACAATGTACAGTAATCAGTATTTTATGTGTTCTTGAAGTTGAATGGATAATTGACTGTTCCTCAGTCTGGGCACCACACACATAGAATGCCCGACGATGAAACCATTAGGGCGAGTTTCATTTCTTTAATAATTATTGTACAACTCTAAACATCTCTTATCAAAATATGTTTGAACAATGTGTGGATTTCAACCCGAATTTCCTCCGTTCGTACATGTCCTTAGACCTCGCTATATATGCTAGTGGCACGTTGCCAATTGCGCCACGACAGTCCATGTTACATCGTACACAGACATCATAACACTATTAGTGTCTCCAATTGGCTATCTTTACCATGTTTACAACAAAGAAAAAACGTGTAGACGGTGGTAGACTAATAATGCTCTATAAGCTGTCTATATGATATAAAGTTGTGCACAACTTAGTTGCGGTAGACTCAAGCCTCTATTTAGTTTTACAGACTACCACCAACAAAGGCATTTCAAGTCTTCCTTACTTTCAGACCTTTAGTACTTGCACAGATAATTTAAATATAGTTCCCCCTCCCCCCCCCCCCCCATTATGGATATATGCTCAGTGGTGTCGGCAGCCTCTTTGGGGCCAGTTCAGAACTCTGGTCTGAATTATTAGCTAATAACATTCCTTAGTACATGTACTACTTACATTTACAGAGTACATTGTAAATAATTGTATCTATTTTTTAATGCATGTTCATGATCATTCACAGCACTTACTTTTATTATTTTATAGCTGAAGTACTCGATTTGCACAGCGCCGGCATATAATCATCAAGTTTGATGAAATGTCCTAATATGTAGATGTAGATGCTAAGTCATTCAGTCACCTAGCTTGTGAGAATGGTGAGAGCCTGCTCAAATTATCATTCAGCACAAATAAACTAACATTGTTTTTATTAATTAATGTTTTATAGCGTACGATTTTTTTTATTGAGCAAGTAACAAGAGGTTTATATTCTTAATTCCTTTATAATGCATAACAATTATAACTTTTGACAGGTAATCTAAACATGCTAAATGCTACATGCATAATCATTTTACATTTTATTTAAGTATAAATACTAAAAATGACTATACTCTATGACATAAAATCATGCATGCATTATTTACAGGAATGCTCACAAAAAGGACAAGAGCGAGAGAGCTGTATGGAAATTTACACAAAGGTAAGATTTTTTAATCATTTTCCTAATCAATAAAATCAAAAGAATTGAAATTATGTGTTTATCAATGTTAGCCAGGCATTGAGAAAAGTTATTATGAACCTTAGACTCCACTCTTTCAAATATATTTTAGTTATTTTAAGAAGTTGTTGCTTTTAACTTGTTTCCTATGTCAGTTCTCTGTCCTGTTCACAAGTTTTTACCTACGCCTTGTCAATGTCATTCATCATATTCTTACACAAACCTATAACCTTAGTCGCAGATATAAATTTCCAGAAATAAAGAAGTACATGTATACATGTACTAATATATTATCTTACTCAATACTGAATTGTTGAGGCATGGAAGTTACATGTATTTATAACAGTTTATTTAATATTTTCTTAATTTTTCAAAAATAAAGTATATGTACATGTATTTGCATGTTTGAAGCCTAGAACAAATGTATTCTATATATTCACTTTATGTTATTTGCTTTGTCTATATTTTTGTTACATTGTAAATTAACCAATGTGCATTTAAAGCAATTACATATGCCTATAAATTCGTCTTTTCCTCTTTTCAAGGGTCAGTTAACGGAGTAAGCTGATATGGAGGATAATATATCAAAGGCAGCATAGGCGTCCAAACTCCTGTTCAAGGTGCTTTTAATCAGAAGCTTAAGAGACAAAAGACGAGCCATTGACAAGGCAAAACTGAATGTTTTATATGGTATATAAATTATATTTACTAATGTACTTTTTTTCATACCTTAACTTTATTTGCTGAATGTTTTTAAGGGTACATAGTTTATGTAATTTACAATGTCCTCTCTCATATTCAAGGTTAATTAACTTAGACACAATCATGTCTCTTTATTTTTTTTTAATTTCACAACTTCCATTAGTTTAAAAAGAAATCAATCCTAATCTGAACAAAAAATTACAAGATAACTAGAGCAGAGCTCGTTGCAAAGCAACGAGTAGGTCTTCCGTTGGAGCTGCGAACAGGAAGAAGTGACCTTGAGTCAAGGTCATGCCACATTCTAAGGTTATAAGCAATCTTGTAAGGGGTATCAACTTGCAATGTCTCACCAGTAGAAAGACAGTTAAGGAATGTTGTTTCTCCGTTGATGACCTTGAACTCGTTCAAATGACCTTGCATCAAACCATGACACACTCTGGTTATAAGCAAACCCCATCTATGTGTTACCGACTGGACAAGTTAACACATGTTCTTTCAGACCATTCATCCAGTCAAAATATTCTTTCCTTAGTGACCCTAAATTTAATCAACATGGCCGTAGGAACCGGGGGAGGGTGGGGCCCGGGGGGGGGGGGGGGTGGGGCCCGGGGGGGTGGGGGCGTACCCCCCAATAATTTTGCCGATATATAGATTACTATAGTAGACATAGACATAGATACTATAGCTTGTGCCACCTCAATAAAAACGTTGATAACCTTCTTTTTTTTTTTTTTTTTGCTTGTCAAGGAATTTTTGGTAGTTGGTGACCTTTTTTTTTGCTTGTCAGGAAATTTATGGTAGTAGTGCCCCCTCAACTGTCAACTGAAAATGTATGGCTGCCCCCCCCCCCAAAAAAAAAAAAAAAACTGAATTTGCTTCCTCGTTTCATTAAAAAAAATCCTACGTGACAAGTTTGTGTGATCACACCAGTAACATTCAAACACCACTATTTCATTTTTACACATTTAAATCGACACAATCAATCAACGATAATATGTTGACGGTGCGACCGTTGGGGGAGTGCATTGTTCACTTAATTTTAAGATCCGCCTCTTCAAACAGCACGAGACATTTGGAACGTCTAGACTGTGACGTCTCATGACGTATGTTAGCTGTATTTCCATAAACGAATTTTGAAAAGTGCAAACATTTTAACAAAGAACGTTTAATCTACTATCTGTATGCAATTCCATTAATTAAGGTGATTTTTTGGGGTGGATTTTTAGTTGTTGTTACCGCGCGAACGAAGTTAGCAGCGTCGCTATAAACAAGCTAACTCCTCACTCGTTTAATTGTGACGTCACAATCGTGAAACACGACGTTTTGTTGCAGGGCAAACATGATGGACACGTGACTTTCTCGGCCAATCAAATTCTATTTTACTAGTGATTTTTCAATTGTAAGCTAGTTTTCACAGAGGTATAATAAACGTTTTTTAGACCATACATCGAAATAAATTATCATAATTTCTATAGTTGTAATTTATTAGGTTCAACTCACTGCTTTAAAGGATCATTGTAAATGTTTTATGCCCGATTTGGATACTGAACAACGTGTGATTTTTGAAACACTGATGCCCCCATATGGCATCTTATGGCGAAAGTTAAAGTTTCTCAAATGCAAGTCAAACTCCATGGTCAAGATCAAAAGATAAAAAAAATGTTATTACCCAAATAAAGGTCTTGAACAAAGAATATACTGTGAAATATATACTAGTATGAAAGCCACAGCAGTAACAGTTTAAAAGTTATGGCCAAGGTTAATTTCTTTAAAAGGTCAAACTCCAAGGTCAAGGGATCATATTGTTTGTACTTGAGGGAAGGTCTTAATTGTTACAAGGAATACACATGTGGTATTAAAAAAGCCTTAGCACCAACTGTTCGAAAGTTAAAACCAAGGTTAAAGTTTTTCAAAAGTAGGACATACTCAAAGGTCAAGGTAAAATGGTCAAAATTATAGGTATACAATGACAGGCCTTGTCACAAGAAAATTACCTATGTAATATAAAACCCCTAGTACTAGTCATTCAAAAGTTATTGTCAAGGCTAAAGTTGTTTAAAAGTTGGTCAAACTCCAAGGTCAAATGGTCAAACATATTTATACCCAAGGAGGAGACTTATCACAAGGGATACAGATGTGAAATATAAAAGCCATAGCACCAACTGTTCAAGGTTATAGTTTGGTAAAATTTTGCGAAAGAGGATCAAACTCCAAGTTCAAGGTCAAGAGGTCAAATATGTTGGTACCTGAAGGAAGTCCTTGTTACTAGGAACACATAAGAAATATGAAAGCAGTAGTTCCAACCAATCAAATTTTATGGGCATAGTTAAAGTTTTTGCGGACAAAGAGGCTAACACAGTCTAACAGACAAATAGACAGGTCGACAGGACAAAAACTGTATGCCCCCAGATCTTCGATTACAGTAGCATAAGAAAATGTCGGCGTCTTTGGGTTTTCGCATTGGCCTTAAATCTGAAAATCCAAAGGATTACAAGGTGCATTACGATACGCTTTCACATCATGTTCTATAACCCAGAGCATATTGTCTGCAAAGAGAAATATTTAATTCAGTATTTAATTAGCTATGCATAATTATCTATGTTGTTTTAAAAAGGAAATATAAAAAAAAAAATATATTTGTTTTATATTTTTCGATGTAGAGATATACAGAAAATGTTTTCCAATTTTAAGTCCTATCGCAATACACATTTAAAAAAAAGTGTGTGTTGGAGGAGGGGTCATTACAGTTTTGCTGGGATTCGCCTATGTATGACCGTAGAGAAACAAAGAGTGGGGAGGGGGCAAGCAGCAACTAAATCAAAATTTACATATTAAAACTACAGCAAAAGACTATTTTCAGAAGGTCTGCCCCCCCCCCCCCCCCCCTGTACAATCCGCACAACGGACCTGTGAAAAAAAATACTGATCCTACATTCAGAGTCCCAGGGCACCAGGAAAGAGTGGCAAAAAGAGAATATCGGTTTATTTCAGTCTATAAGTCGAATCAAAATATCTTTTCCTCAAGAGTCTTCTTTCTTTGAGTCCATCCCAGTCATCGTGTGATTTATTTCATTTATTTTACGTTCTGTACTGGACTTGGAAAATGAGGACATCTTTAGGTTCCTGAGCTGGCCTTGAAGCCCGCAGAACAGATTTTCTGCTTTATGATAAATTCAAGTGATATGTAATTCGGTATTAATTTTGTGTTGATTTTTTAATGTTAATTTCATCAAGAAATATGAAAAATTAATGTTTTAACTGTACATAGTGAGGCATTTTTTGTGTGGAATGATTATTTTGGGGTTTTCACGATTTTTTCATATGGTACACATGATGAGTAAGTGCAATAAATATAATTTGTGGAAAAAATGTCCAACAAGCCCCGGGGTTGAATATCGGGGGGGGGGGGGGGGGGGGGTCTGTCCACAAGTACCCCTGTTGTCAAGCCAGTAGAAAGCAATTTCAGTTTTTTGGGAGGGGGGGGGCAAATAGAAATTTCCACAGGTACTTGTTCTCGATTTTTTCCTATGGTACACATGATGAATAAGTGTAATAAATATAATTTGTGGAAAAAAATGTCCAACAAACATTGGGGTTGAATTGGGGGGGGGGATCCTGTCCACAAGTACCTGTGGAAATTTCTTGATACATAACAGAATTTAAAAGCATGTATAAGACATCAATTGAAGGGGGAGAGGGCACGGCCGTAATTAAAAGTTATATAGAGACTAGGAAGGAATGAACTGTCGTTAAATTTTAATTGGTTAAGAACTATTACCTAAACTCTTCACTTTCACATTTTCAATTACAGATTCTTGTTTTTAAAAAGCTATACATGTACATTTATATGTATCTATTAGATGCATAAATTATGTTATTAATCATTTTATCTTAAAGGAAAAGTAAAAATCTCAATCAAACTTGTTCCGCACATTATGCTCTCTGATTCATTATGTTGTTCAATTATAATGGCAAATTTGCTGAAACACAGAAACATTTTTCATGTCAGGGTAAAAAAGCTATGTATGGTGTAAATAGTAAAACCAGGGATTTGCATTTTAACGTAGAAACACAATTAGCAGTATTCGATACCTATATTAACAGTGTAATGAGTTATGGAGCTGAAGTATGGGGATTTCACAAGGGTCAAGATATAGAAAATGTTCACTTAACTTATTGTAAAAGAGTTTTAAAAGTCAGACAAAGCACCAGTAATGATGCAGTTTATTGTGAATTAGGTAGATTTCCACTTATACTAGAAAGGAAAAAGAAAATTTTGAAATATTGGGTGAAATTAAAAAAAACAGTGATAATTGTATTTTACAATCATGTTATCAAGATATGGTGGAAAATAATGATGAATGGATTGTAAACATTAAGAAGGAATTTCAAAGGCTTGGTTTAACTGACATGTATAATAGCAATTGTATTGATATTAAATTCTCTGAACATCGTATTTCAAAGAATGTATGACGGTTATAAACAAGATATTATGGCAAGAATTTGTAATTCTCCGAAATATTTTTTATATCAACATTTAGTGGATAATGTTGTACTACAGACGTATTTAAGAAAACCATTACATTCAAAGTATAGAATACCTATTAGTCGTTTAAGACTATCAGCGCATGATTTAAAGATAGAGAGGGGAAGGTATTGTAACATAGAAAGAAAAGATAGAAAATGTGAAATATGTATATCAGATGAGATAGAGGACGAATTTCACTTTGTATTAAAATGTCCTCGATATGAAGAACTAAGAATTAAATACAAATTATGAAGAGTTATTATTTTAAAAAACCATCAGTATTCAAATTAGTACAGTTACTGAGTTCCACAAATACTAAAGAACTATGTAACCTAGGTAAATTTCTGTATTTTTCTTATCAATTAAGAAATGATGTTTTAAATAGTGTACAATAAGAAGTGATAATACATTAAATGCTATTGTTTATGTAAATGCCACATGTAATGTATATTGTATAG